TCTCCAGCTACCAGTCCACACTCTATATATATATATTTTTTGGTCTGTGGGACTTGAACCGGCGAGCCCAACACACTGAGCTACTGCCGCCCCATTAGTGCAGCTCACAGTAACATTTAAGTAGATGCTGACTCAACTCTTATCAAAGCAGTTAATAAAATGACTCCTCAGTTTAGGTTTCCTGAGTAATCAGTGACAAGAACAAGCGGAGAAGTTCTCAGGAAGAACATTTGCGATGAACAAGATTGCAGGAAAGATACAGATCACACACATTTACACAAACCCGACTAAAAGTGGGTGTGTTTCAGCAGCAGTGTCAAAGCGAGTCACTGCCCGCTTACAGTAAATATGTCCCACCTCTTTTCCTAATCAAGAGGTGCCTGCATGTGTGTGCACGCACCTGGATAGAGAACTCGGCTGATCATGCCTGGGAGGATGATGAAGATGAAGGGCAGCATCTTCAGATATGAAGCCAGGATTGATGCTCCTTTCACATGACTCATGTTTTTGGCAGATAGGGACCGTTGCACAATCACCTACACATACAGAGACACAAATAATAATAGTTATAATAATAATAATAATAGTACAGAAAGTGGAAGCTTGTTAGCACGTGAATTACTTTCTGTTCGTGTTATTTTCAGCTGTTATCAGATATCACGCTGAGATTTCTGCTATCAGGCTTAATGGTCGAAGAGAGAAAAGTGTGAGGAAATGTGACTGAAGTCTGACTTTGATTACAACCTCTGATTAATCTGGGATAACTGAAAAACACATCAGAACCTCCTGGTGTGTTTTTAATATGTTTTGAGGCTTTTTTGGCTTCATTAGATAGGACAGCTGAAAATAGACAGGAAAGGGGCAGAAAGAGAAGGCCACATGTCAGACTCATACCTGTGGCTGCTGCCTTGGTACATGGGGCGCCAGCTCTACCAGGAGCTCCTGATTTGACTTTAACTAAGATGGACCTGTAGTGTGCTCAGTCTCATGGGACCATTTGAATCCAAGGAGAAGTAGATCCAGGAATCATCGTCATAAAAATGGAAACTGATGCTTATGAAATATTTGAGCATAGGAAGAGAATAGTAAAGGACCGAGGATTGATCCCTGAGGTACTCCATGTGTGAAATGGGTAGTAGAGGATTTATAGTCCCCTGTAGACAAACAACAATCAACATGTGTAACTCTTTCTCCTCTTTCTCTCTCTGTCTAGTTGTTCCAGGCTTCAAGATCTCCAGGTCGTGATGCGCGACTGAGAGGAGCCAAAGTAGTCATTGCCAAACCAGGAAGTTTCCACCGCCCCACCCGAGCAGCTGGCCCTGTGATTGGAGGACACCGTTACTGGCAGGGTCAAACGCTGCAGCCCGATTCGGCTCGCGTAGAGGGGCGCTCTGGCCGGTCGCCGCGACGCCACAGCCCGGGTTACAGGAAGACGGACCACATCTCGGCACAGCCACCAGACAACCCATCAGGGTTACTCGGAGTATCTTTCTCAAAACTGAGCAATTTAAGACACCTAAGGGCACAAGGTGGAGGTTCGCAGAAGAAAGCGTCTCAAAATAACAAGCCTACTAGGTAGAACTGTAGTACATGTACATAAGGATGACTTCCTGTTAAGAAATTGGTGACTCTTCAGCGAGGAATCTTCTCTAGCTCTGGCGTGCATGTAATTTCCTGCTTTCGAACCCTAAGGCTCATGATACATAAACTATTAGTTGGCAATTTGATCTGAAGATATGTTTGAAGAGGTTTTGTCTGTAAATCAGTCGAATCGCCTTTCACTCTAATGCTTCCTGGTTTAAGTCTTCTAATTGAATGGTTTCTGTAGGGTCTGGTCGATAATGCATTTTAGAAGCAGACATTTTCACCTGTTCGGTAATAAACTGATAAAGATATATGAACTGAGGCAGGGTGTTTTGTAGGTGATAACATACAAAATTTGGTCAGCTGTGACAGTCTTCTCTGTATTGTAAACAACCCTTTGAACAAATATTTCTAAATTACCTCAAGTGCTTTTTCTTTCTCAAAATGTTGTACTGTAATGTTTTTCCAAAACTAATCTGCACAGACTCTGTATCAGTCCATTATGTCTCCCGACTGATATGGAGTCAGGTTAAGTGTTAATACCACTGTGATTGGTTACTGACGGTGCAAGTGTATGGATACTGTGTTGATTGCTTTTACGTATTTGAATGCTGTACGGGATTACCTGTGCTGATGTAGAGAACTGGTAAATATACAAATGTGGGACCAAAAGGGAATGTTTTTATGTAAATAAAAAGACAGATTGTTGAAAATAATCCAGAAGAGTTTGATGATTGCGTACGTGTACAGGGAGGTTTTCTGCTTTTGCCTCAGACTGCAGAAAAATATATAATTGTAGCTTTTTGGTTTCTCATTTTTGAAGCCTGGAGTTTGGGTTTGGCTGAAAATCATCATCGGGGCAACAGTTGTTGTTTTTTCTTTTTTTCTTTTTTTTTGCTGCGATTTGTGGAAACAGTCACATTAGAAGAATTGAGTCTGGTAGTTCAAATAGTATGAATGAAACCATAAAATGTTTTACAGTCAGACTTTAAAGTTCATTCTTGATCTTGGAATCAGTAGTCAAGAAAATTTAACCACAAGTTCAATTTAGTTGTTTTGGAAAATGTTGTATTTTACCATACTTATTTGGGGAAGAAAACAAAGACAACTGTGTCATGGAAACATAATAATACAATTCGCAGCAACTTCCCATTTTAACTTTGACCTACACTACTTACTGTTCTGTTTCATTTCCAAATATGCTATATAGATACACCACTGGACTCAAGAAAGCCCAGTAGGGCATGGTGGTGATACTGGTGTGTGCCTTTCTACAATTAAGTTGGTGGGTAAAAAACTGACAAAACTACTGAAAATCTTGGACCTGTGTTTAGTTGCATCTACCAGTGAAGTTCTGGCCAGGCTCTAGCGGCCATTAGATGAACTGCACTGTAAGTCACATCTGCAACAATGGTTGTCTTGCTTGCACATACATTCTGTATGCGTATACATGTACCTGGTCAGAACACCAGTACCAGGTGGCCAGTATGGTGAGTCCAAGAGTCATGCCGGGCCAGGGAAGGTCTCCAGTGACGGCGTCTCTGAAGAGGTGCATGGCGTCCTGACGTGGCAGGTGGCAGGTACTATTGGGAATGATCTTACTGGGTATCGCCATGCTGTACACGTGCTCCAGGTTGCTGTAGCCGCCAATCTTGTTGAAGGCTATGGACCAGAAACACACAACTCCCAACTATACAATCCTTAAAATAACTGCAGTTGTTGTGTTTGTTTAAAAATTATGATAAGTGTACAAACCAGTGATTGTTAGGATGATTGCTCCTATAATCATGACAAATGTCTGTAGAGTGTCGGTGTAGATGACAGCAGCAAGACCACCTGAAAGGAAGTAGTAGGAAGGAGTGTGTGTGATGGAAATCTTTCAGTATAAGCAGACAGGTGGCAAACACACATGCATACAGATAATAGAAGTACTGATTGAACTTCTTTACTCAAGTAACAGTGAAAAAGTATAAGAGTACTCTCTTGGTTTCTCTCATTTATACCGACTGTTTTTGTGCAAAGCTGAAACTTCAAATAAGGTTGAGTCTCTCTCCTTTGTCTGTCTTGTCTTGTTACATCTTTGATGTTGTTTTCATCATGTTATGTCTGTCATGAGTCATATGCAGTGTTTAGAAAGCGTGCAGTGATGCAAAATGAAAAATAAAAATAAATTTGTCCTCCTCAAATGCATTAAAACCAAAGTAACAAGCCTGTTTTTAAAACGTAAGGAGTTGAAAATACACATGCTACTTGTGTTACTTCCCACCCCTGTAAGCCGACAACATTCCAGTCTAAGAGGGACAGAATTAGCTATACTGAATGTAATTGTATATGTGTGTGAGGTTGTTTGTATACCTGCAATAGTGTAAAAAGCAGTGACCACCAGCATGAGGACAGTGGACAGGTAGAGGTTCCACCCCAGACAAACCTGAACAAACAAGGCTCCAGAGTACAGGTCAGTCTGGTGACGGAAACACAACACATCTGTCAGCAATGCCAGCAAAAATTCAACCTCACATCAGATCATGTTGCTAAATGGAAAAAAAAAAGCCAAAGCAGCCAAATGCAGTGTCATACTGATATCTTTGTGAAGATGGACAACAACAGCGAGAGGACAGCCAGGTAGGTTCTGATCCTCTCTCCTCCGAAACGTCGGCCCAGGTACTCTGGCATGGTCACAATCTGAACACACACATTTTAACATCTTCAACACACCACAGCTACACAGATGGAAGCAAACATAGGAAGCTCTGGTGACTTTCAGAGCTCAGCATGATCTGTCAATTAGCAGCTGGTGACTGTGGACCAATTTGGTGTGTTCAGACTTCCCCTGTTTTTAATATAAGTATGTACCAACAGATAGAGTCAATTATGTTCTTGTTATTTAAGGACAGATGTGTGTGTGTGTGTGTGTGAGAGAGAGAGAGTGCATGTCTGTGGTGTAACACCCTGTTGAGGAATTTCCAAGGTGTCTCATGTCTCTTGGCACTAAAATGTACCTGCTGAACCAGCCTATACAAGCAGACTGGATTCCCATATGTGTGTGTGTGTGTGTGTGTGTGTGTGTGTAAACTAACCCCAGAGGAGATGTAGACAGGCACAAATACCCAGGCCAGAGCCAGCAGCACATAAGTGGCCTGTGAGAATAAAGGAAAAGAGACAGAAAGAGGTTGTTTGACCAGTCGCCTCAGGTGGAAGAAATTCAAGTCAAGTCAAACTGTAGTAAAACTTTTAGCTTTAAAAGGTCTGCAAGCACATGTGCAAGTTGCTGTGGACTGACTCCTGCCACATGTTCTCTACACTACCTAATACAGCTTGATGGCATAAATAAAAACCTTTCACCTGCTGCCACCTGCAGCAGGCTGCCTGCAACAGCTGACACAGACGCACACTGTCCAAGCAGTACGCCGTGTTTTCTTACATAAATAGTTTGTGTTAGTCAGGCCAATTAACACTACACGCCACAAAAGAAATAACATTTACATGGATTAGAAGGCCAGCCCTGCCTCATTCCAGACGATAATGTGTTTACTTAATATGAATAGATAAATTAGAATAGCATGTCATAATGTTTTATTAAGTGAATGAACTCACGTTCCATTCAAAGCCAGCGACAGCGATGCCTCCAGCAGCTCCAGTCCCAGCCAGACCAATGAACAAACCGGAGCCTTCTGAACTGGCAAAGAGAGACGCTCCAATCTGTGCAAAGTATTCAGATCTTTTTAGTAAAAGCATCAAAAGAACAATGTAAAAATACAAGTCGTGCATTTAGATTCTTACTTAAGTAAAAAAAAATTCTTATACACAAATTTATAATAATTTGTTTGACTTTTATCTTTAACATTTATTTAATTTAAAGCATCTGAGAAGTTTAGAGGGGAAATCTCTCTTTGGTGGAACTGCTAACAACTCATTAGACACAGACTCTGAAACGTCCCCAACCAGACACAAACCAAAAAGATTAGGAATTTAATCTTCATCAGTGTGTTGTATTTTATAAGCTTACCATATATTTTAGTGTAAAATCAGACAAGTAATTAGCTACCAGCTAAATGTGATGGAATAAAAAGTACATTATTTAGATTATTATTGATTACTGCATCAGAGCTGAGTACTCACTTACTTCTTACACCCCTTAATAACACAAGGCCTTGTGAACCCCATGAAGCTTTGGTGACCCCTAATAGGGGTCCTGAACCCCAGGTTGGGAACCAGTGGTACAGAGTATCATAAAATAGAATCAACAGATTACACAAAGTATACAGGATTCATATATATTTTTTGCTTAGTCTGTCCTGTGTAACGCACCAGCAGCCTGTCTGTGCCCAGGGCTGCAAAATATCAGTATTACTAATTTACAAACATATCCAGAGTTACTGATATTTGCAAACAAAAACTGCTGCTTGATCAGATTATCAGAAGAAGCTTTTCATCCAACTGCACAAGAATTAGAAACGTCTCTTCATCCACAACATTAGTTGGGTTAGACTCACCGGCCACCAGGCCATGTCCCGTCCAGCCAAGAAGTACCCGCTCAGAGTATTCCTGCTCACCCTGCATGATGACTGACAGAGAAAAAACTGTTACACCTGAGAATCCACACACACACACACAGGCAGATAAATACAAACATGTACACCTTTGACTCTCACCCAGATGCCGACGGCGAGGTTGAGAAGAAAGTAGGTTGCTATGACGATAATGTCAGAGAAGCTGAAGGACTGAGGGTGGTCGTAGAAGTTGATGGTGGAGTTAGACATCCTCAGAGTTTACAACAATGCACAGACACTTAAAAATACACCAAAAATCATACACACACACACACACACACACATACGCACACACACACCTGTTGAATCTAACCCTTACACCTGTGCAGTCAGTCTCATCAACCCTCTCTCATAATCTGACACCACAGGCCAACTTTGCAAACACCCTGAACAACTTACACTCCCCAGAAACCACCAGACAGTCTTGTGAAGAACATCAGCCCTTTAAATGCTCACTTCTCTTCCAACACATAAACAAACTAACATGAACACACACACACACACACATACACACACACACACACACACCATCCAGCCCTTGGTTAAAGTCCCTTCTCGGCTGAACTACAAGCTGACTTCGCTGCTGCAGAAAGCTTGAGAGCTCGGGTGTTTCGTGTATGTGTGAAGAGGGCAGTCCTTTGGTTGAATTGATGATTAAACACATCACCTTAATGTGGCACCTGCAGCGCTGACACACATGCTGTGCTAGGGGATAATGGAGTGCGTGGTATGGGTGAGCAGTGGAGTACAGCAGATGCTCGTGTGGACCAGAGTCCACGCTAATGCCCACACACACACAGATGGTCAATCATTGGCGATGACAAGTTTATAATCATTAGCGTCCAAACACACAAACATCTGCTGGTAAGTGCTGTAGGGTCAGTGAAAGTGTGTGAGAGAGAAAACAGGTGGTTTCCTTAACTGCTTATAGTTTCATTCAGTAACTTTACCCTGATAGAAACAGAATGAGTGTGGACACAAGTTTTTAGTCTTTTTCTTCAAATAAATAAATGTTTCAGGATCCATTCCTAGATTTGCATTATTAACTGATGATGCACACAAATACTGTTTAGGAATACAATCCTACTATATATGCTTTTTCGATGAGTGCTACAGTTTCCAATTTAAGAATTGAGCCTGATCTGCTCTATCTTACTG